TGGTTGACAGGAAGGATTCGGAATGTGCATTCAGTGTACACTTCGATAAAAGACTGAAAAATCAGTGTCAACTATGAAATAAAGGCTGAAAAATCAGTGTCACAAAATTCTCAATACTGAAAAATCAGTGTAGGTACAAAAAAATCCCTGAAAATCAGGAATTTCAGGAAAAAATTCCTGATATCGTAGGGCCTGCAATCAGCTCCATCGCACTCGAACAACTGCTTCAGCGGCTTTCAACTCTGGAGCAAGGGCTCCAGACATTGCAAAACGGGGTAACGGGAACCTCCTCCCAACCCACTCAACCGGCCGCGACTGGCCGCGAAACCGTCCCACAAACCTTCTCTCTCGACATAAATGCTTCACACCCAAAGTCCCACGCCCAAGCGATGTCGCAATTCCTGAATACCGTATTACCCCGGATAGTAGCGCTTATAATAAAATCCGTTTTTTTGGTGGTGGCGCTTTTAATTGAGTATCGGCCATAAGCGCCGGCGCTTATATAATGACAAATACAGAGATACAACTTAAATGCATTAAAATGTACATTTCCGTCTCGTAGGTTCAATCGAGTCGACATTCAATAGCGTCCTAAATTTGAATCGCGTGAGGGCGAATCTCTGACGCTGCACATAGCTTTTCGCACGTCAATTTGCCCGCGTGCCACCTCATCCTGACTGGACGCGAAACCAGTCAGGACCTCGAAAGTCAAACAAAGTGAAAATGGGTGCTGACTCGCTTGAATTTTGAAATTCGTTACTGTTTTAATCAGGATTGAAAGAATAAAATTATACATGCGCTTATAATAAATCAGGGTTTTACAGGGGGGGCGCTTATAATCGAGGAACGGCCATAAGCGCCATGCTCCAGATATAGGCGCCGGCGCCTTTAATCGGACGGCGCCTATATCCGGGGCCATACGGTATATAAAAAATCAAGACAAGTATTATATTTGACGGCAATGATTTCTATACATGGGGTTTCGAGCTAGAGCTGCTGCTGCAAAACACACATATTTATCATATCTTTTTCTTTTTTTTTTAAATCTTCAGCACTATGCAAAACAGCATGTAATCACAAGGCTCAGGGAGATGTAACAGAAGGAAAAAAGGGGGAAGAGAAAGAGATGAATAAAAAGGGTAGGGAGAAAGAAAGTGAAAAAGGGAAAAAGAGGCAGAGGAAGTTGAAGGAAAGGGACAAGGAAAAAGAAAGGGAAAGTGCATCCCCAAAAGACTCTAAAAACACCACACAAGGAACCCCATCAAGACAACACATCAAGACACCCCAACAAAACACCCTATCTAAAAATTCCCCACCCCCGAACCCCTCCTCTAGACCCGCATATCAACCAAGTAGGGCGCATCCACCCACGGAGCATCCCACCCAACATCCTCCTCCATATCTTCCCACTCAACCCAAACGACATCTGGACCTCTCATCATCGACACCGCACGGAGCAAGATCACCCGTGCCTGAGCGCGCTGCAGAGCCACCCCCAGGGCTGCTTTAAGTGAACCTAGCAGATAGGCAGAAAAACCCTTTCCCGTAGCCCTCGCCGCTCCCTTCATCTTTGCTACCTCAATCTGTGCATCACCCTGTTTCTTCAGCCATCGTCCAAAGCTCCCACCAAGACATCCCCAGGTCTCTGCAATGAGAGGCATAAACTGCACTCCCCTATGTCGCTGCAAAAGCAATTTGTAATCCGCTGCCTTCCGCTTTTCTCTCTCTCTAGCAGCGAAACCCACCTTGCAACCGATCTGTCCGTGTTGCTGCGCTGACAGAGAGATAGGATCTACGACGCTAACCTCCAGCGCATGCTTCTCCCCCTCCCTCAATCTCCGAACCGCCACATCCACTTTCTTCCCTGGCAGCAACGTATCGTCCTCCATAGTCACCACCCCACCCGCAGCTTTAGCTATTTTCGCCACCACAGACTTAACCGCATCGTGAACCCGAGAAGGTGCATACTGATGCTTGCAGTGAAGGGCATGATGGGGATCTGAAGGATCAGCGAACTCGACCCCACGGGCGCATTTGCCGGCAACTATCAGCTGCACGATAGGGAGGCCTAGATGCATGGCCGCACAGATGCTCCACTCTGGTGCGGTGAATGTAGCCTCGTCATGCGACGGAACGGCAGAGACTCACGATCCTGCCCTCGGGCCTTGAAGGGATGTCAAACGGGCCAAGTTGGCATCATCGTGGGCCATGCCCCGAAGAGACTGCAGGCTCTTGACCGCTAGGCGACGGTGTTGCATAGGGAAAAGCAGCAATGGGGGGTCAGGAGTGCACAAAGCAAGGGGGCATCTCCTGCCGAACCGGTTGTGGAAGCAGCTCCACTGCTCTCGCGAACTAGGGATCCAGCAAGGTCGTAGCCTCGGGCGTGCGGAAATACTCCTCAAACATCCGCTCCTCTCCTGCCACCCCCATGCGAGCCACATCGCTCACTGCCTGGCACCAACCGCATGCGTATGACAGAGGGCTAAGGTCAGCTGCCGATCGTATGCAAAAACCCCCCAGTCTGGCAGGCAGATGCAACTACAGGCGGGCCATCCGCGACTTTTTCTGAATCGTGATCCCAGGTACTTGGCGGAAACAACTACTCAAAACAATCCTCAAGGCCTGTGTCCCAGTCTCGGAAAGCTTCCACAACCTCTGGCCATGGAGGCATCGTCCTCCCCAATGGGAGCCCCAACTACAATGAGTCCTGTCCATGTTTGTTGCATGCTGGGTGGGAGTGTCTCGCTCCTCTCCTCCCCCTCCTCATCCACCCCTCACTCCCGTAGCTTGCACTTATGCGGCTGCACCTCCAGACCAAGCCCGTCCAATCGTTCCCGCAATACCCCAAAAGCTGCCAACACCTGCTCCTTGGGCCCAAGGATATACGTATCATCAGCGTAGCTGAGGAAAAGGAGGTCTGCAAATTCCTGCTTGGTCGGTTCCATAGCCCGCTGCTGCGTGAAGGCGAACAGAAATGGCCCCAATGGGTCCCCCTGCCTCGAGCACCGCTCGAAAGCCAAAACTTCAACGAAGGGGCCTGCGCGGAGGTAGAGGTCGCTGGGGGTGCCGTAGAAGACACACAAGAATGGAATCAATCCCTCGAAAGGCGACTGACGGAGGCCTTCAAACATTTCCCGCCGATGGAAAGAGTCGAAAGCATTCGCCACGTCAATCTGAAGCGCGCACCACGACGGGTGAGTAGAGATGGCAGAACGGAAGGCGTGTGCCAGGAATTCCATTCCCCACTTGGACACAAATCCGAGCTGATTACACGGAGAGAAATGCGACAACATCTTCGGGCGGAGCACGATGCATAGAGCCCTCGATAGAATGCGGGGGAGCACCTCGCCTATAGCCACCGGACGAACGTCACCATTCGGCTTCGACAGACCCACAAGGTTGGACGCAGTCAGCCAGGGTCGCACGCGCTCCGCTACCTCTACCTTGGTCCACTGGGTGAAGACCTCTAGCAGGTGAGGCAGGTATGCAGGCTCAGAGAGAAAAGTGTCGCGCAGGTGCTCCGTCACCCACCCTGATGGTCATGGTGCAGACGCCCGAGCCGCTGAATGGATAGCCTGGCCGAGTACCTCCACTGAAAGCTCAGGGATTAGGGACGGCTCGACTGTCGCCTCCTACAACCACTCCGGGATGGCGGTCTCACACGATGGGTGTTTAGCGCGTAGCGAGTCCACCATGTGCTAGGAAGGCTGCGCCACGCTACCAGCTGTAAGACACGCCAAACATCTACTCCATTCTTGTGCGGCAGCGAGCCAGGCGCACTGCATCGGGGTCATGCTCGGAAGGGGTGAAGGACAATGGACGAGCCGCTAGATGCATCGCCGCCACCGCCGACTCGAACAACTGCCGCCACTCCCTGGCCCAAAACTTCTACAACCGCTCCCTAATTCCCGCCCTGTGCCCTTGGCCTTGCCCAGTTGGAATCCCCAAAATCAGACGAGGGAACGCCAAGAAGACCAAGGATGCCGCCTCATCTGCTACCCTCAATTGAAGCCGCTTGAGGACGCAAGAGAGTGCATCAAGCACCCCCAATCTAGCGCCCTGTGGGATGCGGCGCATGAGTTTCCCTGGCACCAACTCAATCCCAAAGAACGACTCCCTGTCCCATGTAGGAACTGCAGCCCACACCTCCTCATTGATATCCCTTGGTGGCATAGGTTCGCCATCCGAGTCGTTTGTGACGTCGCGGGTTAACCCAAGAGCCTGATCCCGGCGCTGTGCGTCCGCCGCCTTGCAGACCGACATGTGGCGGGTAGCTTTTCCTCTGTCTGTGAACGTGCGAAAGCAGGTTTCGCACGGGATGCGAGGCGGGGGTGTCAGGGTATAGTCTGGGATCTCCCCTCCAAACGAACCCGCCGGCGACACCCCCCTGCTCAGCTGTCCTCTACTCAGCATCCGCTGCTGCACTCCACTTTCCCGCTGCTGCTCCCCCCCGCTCTGCTGCCGCTGCCACCCTCCGCCCTGCGGCTCCTGCTGCCCTCCGCCCTGCGGCTCCTGCTGCCCTCCGCTCTGCATCTGCTGCTGCCCCCGGCTCTGCAACTCCTGCTGCCCTCCGCATTGCGGCTCCTGCTGCCCTCCGATCTGCAACTGCTGCTGCCCTTCGATCTGCAACTGCTGCTGCCATCTGCTCTGTAGCTGTTGCTGCCCCTCGCTCTGCAGCTGCTGCTGCCCTCCGCTCTGCAGCTGCTCCTGCCCTCCGCTCTGTAGCTGCTGCTGCCCCCCGCCCGGCAGCTGCTGATGCCCACCGCTCTGCAGCTCCTGCAGCCCTCCGATCTGCAACTGCTGCTGCCCTCTACTCTGCAGCTACTGCTGCCCTCCTCTCTTCAGCTGCTGCTGCCCCCCGCCCGGCAGCTGCTGCTGCCCTCCGCTCTGCAGCTCCTGCTGCCCTCCGCTCTGTAACTGATGCTGACCTCCGCTCTGCGACTCCTGCTGCCCTCCGCTCTGCAGCTGCTCCTGCCCTCCGCTCGGCAGCTTTTCGATGCATGGCTCGTCCGCCATCCCCACATCAATCGTCCATAGTGGCTTCGGTTGCCCTTCCCTCTGAGGCTCCCCGCCCGCCTCTGACTCCTCCGCAGTCGCCATGGGCGTATCAAAATCCAAAAGTCGGATCCACTCCTCCAAATGCTGCTTCTGGTCAACCAGCGACTGCCCTCCTGACTGCTGCGCTCTCTGGGGTGTTCCTGTCGCCCCCGGCTGCCTCCCTAGCTGCTGCTCTCCCTGGGGTGCTCCGATCACCCCCGGCTGCCCCCCTGGGTGCTGCACTCCCTGGGGAGCTCCGGTCACCCCCGGCTGCCCCCCTGGCTGCTGCTCTTCCTGGGGTGCCCCGGTCACCCCCGGCTGCCCTCCAGGCTGCTGCTCTCTCTGAGGTGCTCCAGTCGCCCCTGGCTGCTGGGCTCCCAGGGGTGCTCCGGTCACCCCCGGCAGGGCCCCTGGCTGCTGCTCTCTCTGAGGTTCTCCGGTCACCCCTGGCTGCCCCCGTGGCTGCTGCACTCTCTGGGGTGCTCGGGTCACCCCCGGCCACCCTCCAGGCTGCTGCTCTCCCTGAGGTGCTCCAGTCGCCCCCGGCTGCCCCCTTGGCTGCTGTGCTCCCTGGGGTGCTCCGGTCACCCCCAGCTGCCCCCCTGGCTGCTGCTCTCTCTGGAGTGCTCCAACCACCCCCCCCCCTGGCCTCCTGGCTGCTGCTCTCCCTGAGTTGCTCCAGTCACCCCCAGCTGGCATCCTGGCTGCTGCGCTCCCTGGGGAGCTCCGGTCACCCCCGGCTGCCCCCCTGGCTGCTGTTCTCTGCGTGGTGCTCCTGTCACCCTCGGCTGCCCTCCTGGCTGCCGCGCTCCCTGGGGTGCTCCGGTCACCCCCGGATGCCCCCCTAGCTTCTGCTCTTCCTGAGGTGCTCCGGTCACCCCCTGCTGGCCCCCTGGCTGCTGCTCTCCCTGAGCTGCTCGGGTCACCCCCGGCTGGTCCCCTGGCTGCTGCTCTCCCTGAGCTGCTCGGGTCACCCCCGGCTGGCCCCCTGGCTGCTGCTCTCCCTGAGCTGCTCCGGTCACCCCCGGCTGGCCCCCTGGCTGCTGCTCTCCCTGAGCTGCTCCGGTCACCCCCGGCTGGCCCCCTGGCTGCTGCTCTCCCCGAGCTGCTCCGGTCACCCCCGGCTGGCCCCCTGGCTGCTGCTCTCCCTGAGCTGCTCCGGTCACCCCTGGCTGGCCCCCAGCCCTCTGCCCTCCCTGTCGTCGCCCCCTTCGGCGCCGTGCTCGGGGCCTTTCCGCTTGGCCTGTGCCGCCCGGGCTAGTGACCCCATGCTGATCCTGCGCCTGCAACTCCTGCGACTCACTCATCGGCAACCCCTGTTGTACGCTTCCAGGCACGGGCTGTTTCGCCTCATGACACCCTTGCCGCCGCCCTGCATGCGATTGGGGTTGATTCCCTGTTTGACTTCCCTCCTGCTGGCCTACCGACAGCTCCCCTCGCGCCTCCTCTTGTGGTTCCTCCATCTCCACCTCCAACTCCCGCAGCTCCTGCTGTCCCCCCGCCTACAGCCCTTGTTGTCCCCTCGTTTGAAGCTCCTGCTGCCCCCCCGCCTGCAGCTCCTGCTGCCCCCCAGCCTGCAACTCCTGCTGCCCCCCAGCCTGCAACTCCTGCTGCTCCCCAGCCTGCAACTCCTGCTGCTCCCCAGCCTGCAACTCCTGCTGCTCCCCAGCCCCCTGCTCCACCTCCATCTCCGCCTCCAACGCCTGTTGCCCTCCGGCCAGCTCCTGCTGCCCCCCAGCCTGCAGCTTCTGCTGCTCCCTGGCCTGCAGCTCCTGCTGCCCCCCAGCCTGCATCTCCTGCTGCTCAGCTCCTGCTGCCCCTCCGTCCGCAGGTTCTGCTGCCCCCTATCCGGCAGCTCCTGCTGCCCCCTAGCTTGTAGCTTCTGCTGCCCCCCAGCCTGCAACTCCTGCTGCTCCCCAACCCCCTGCTCCACCTCCATCTCCGCCTCCAACGCCTGTTGCCCTCCGGCCAGCTCCTGCTGCCCCCCTGCCTGCAGCTTCTGCTGGCACCCCGTCTGCAACTCCTGCCCCCCCGCTTGTGACGACTGGAGCCCTCCCCGCCGGGAGTTCTGCTGGCTCCTTGCCGGTGGCCGGGGCTGGCTCCCCGCTTGGCTCCCCTGCTCCCCCCTTCTTCGCGGTTCATGTCTCATCTCGTCTCGCCGCCCACGCTGCTCTTTCGTCGGCGTCTGCGGCTGGTCCTCTTCTAGGCTCCCATGCTGCACCCCCGGCCACCCGTGTTGTCCTCTCGGCCGCAGCTCCAGCCCCCCTCCGGCCAACATCGCACAGGGTCTTTCCTGCAAGACTCCGGGCGTGCGCCTCCGTTCCTGCCGTTGGGCCAAACGTGGGCCGCGCGGTGTCGGGATGCCGCGTTCGGGGAGGGCAGGGCCTGCGAACTGAGTGCCGAGGGCATGTCGACGCCTGTCGTGTGTCTCCTGCAAACGCCGGCGGTGTGCTTCCCATGCTACCATTGCCGCACCAGGGGCGATGCTCTGCCTAAGCTCCCCTTGGACATGTTCGCCCTCTTCTCTGACCGCTCCGCCTTGATTGGGGCAATTTTTGCTGCCGACCACGGGGCTGCCCGGAGTATCTTCAATGTGTGCCTCCGTCCTCGCCTCCGTCGAAAGTGATCCGCACCGTTAGCGTTTGCTGGGCGTGCATAAGAGGAAAGGCTCGTGACTGTGGTGTAGGAGACGAAGACGTGGGTGTTGCGAGTATAGTGTCGTCTCCCTGAGTCTCTTGGGGCCAGACTCCGACGGGCAATTCCCTCCCCTGGTTGCTGTCCACTCCACCCCGCCTCCCTGGAGTTCCCCTGTTCGCCTCGGGTCTCCCCAGGGGGGCGCCGGGCGGCCTCGGTCAGGGGTTTCGGGGTTGTTGTTCATGGCGACAAGCGCTTGCGAGGGGCACTGGCGGGTTTTGCGCTACTACGCGCTGTTGGTTCGGATTTAACGCTGCTATGGGCGGATTTCACGCCGCTGAGGGCAGATTTCACACTTCTAAGGGCGGATTTCACACTGCGAAGGGCGGACTTCACACTGCTAAGGGCGGGTCGTGCTTCTACAGGCGATATCGCACTGCCTAAGGCGTCCCGGCGTTGCTGAGGCTAGATCGCGCTGCCTCGTGGCGTCAGGACGCTGCTAAGGGGCGATTTCGCGCTGCCTAAGGCGTCCTGGCATACTGAGGCTAGATCGCACTGCCTCGTGGCGTCGGGGCGCTGCTAAGGGGCGATTTCGCACTGCCTAAGGCGTCCTGGCGCTGCTGAGGCTAGATCGCGCTGCCTGGTGGCGTCGGGGCGCTGCTAAGGGGCGATTTTACGCTGCCTAAGGCGTCCTGGCGCTGCTAAGGCTAGATCGCGCTGCCTGGTGGCGTCGGAGCGCTGCTAAGGGGCGATCTTGCGCTGCCTAAGGCGTCCTGGCGCTGCTGAGGCTAGATCGCGCTGCCTGGTGGCGTCGGGGCGCTGCTGAGGGGAGATTTCGCGCTGCCTAAGGCGTCCTGGCGCTGCTCAGGCTAGATTGCGCTGCCTGGTGGCGTCGGGGCGCTACTAAGGGCGATTTCGCGCTGCCTAAGGCGTCCTGGCGCTGCTGAGGCTAGATCGCGCTGCCTCGTGGCGTCGGGGCGCTGCTAAGGGGCGATTTCGCACTGCCTAAGGCGTCCTGGCATACTGAGGCTAGATCGCACTGCCTCGTGGAGTCGGGGCGCTGCTAAGGGGCGATTTCGCGCTGCCTAAGGCGTCCTGGCGCTGCTGAGGCTAGATCGCGCTGCATGGTGCCATCGGGGCGCTGCTAAGGGGCGATTTCGCGCTGCCTAAGGCGTCCTGGCGCTGCTGAGGCTAGATCGCGCTGCCTCGTGGCGTCGGGGCACTGCTAAGGGGCGATTTCGCGCTGCCTAAGGCGTCCTAGCGCTGCTGAGGCTAGATCGCGCTGCCTGGTGCCGTCTAGGCGCTGCTAAGGGGCGATTTCACGCTGCCTAAGGCGTCATGGCACTGCTGAGGCTAGATCGCGCTGCCTGGTGGCGTCGGGGCGCTGCTAAGGGGTGGTTTTGCGCTGCCTAAGGCGTCCTGGCGCTGCTCAGGCTAGATCGCGCTGCCTGGTGGGGTCGGGGCGCTGCTAAGGGGTGATTTCGCGCTGCCTAAGGCGTCATGGCGCTGCTGTGGCTAGATCGCGCTGCCTGGTGGCGTCGGGGCGCTACTAAGTGTCAAACTATAATTCTAAAGGTTGTGTAGTTCTAGTCTAGGTGTTCTCCCATATGTTATTTTCTACTTGCACTAGGGCTAGGTTTTGCATATATCTTGTTTGTACTTTCTGTTTTAGTCAACTTTTTACATTGTGACATGGTATAGAGCTAGGTTAACCCTAGCGAGATTTTCCCTTTAGGAAAAATCACTCGACTATCATGGGCCCACCTAGTCGCGCCCCGTCCTAGACCGCCCGTAGCGCGCTTACCTTAGCCCCGTCGCCTGTAGACCCCCCCCGCCGTCGCCAGTCGCCCGTCGCCCGTTTCCCCCCGTCGATCGCGGCCATTTCTTTTTTTTTTTTTCCCGTCACCCGTCACCCGTCGCGGCTGTTCGTTAGCGGGCCCCACGGCCCTTCGTTAGCGGGCCCCGCGGCCCTTCATTCGTGGGCCCCGAGGCTCCCCGCGGCCCCGTCGTTAGTCGCACGCACGCACAGCAGCAGCCGCGCGCACGAGCGACCCGTCGCCCCACCTGTTTCCCACCGTCATAACCGCCGCCCCACCCGTTAGACGCGGCCCCACCCGCTGCCTTACCCGCCGCCCAGTCTGTTAGCCGTCGTCTCACCCGCGATCTGCCGCCCCACGAGCAGAAATCCGCCGCCACACCAGAAATCGGACTGAACTGCACAGAACCGCACTGAATTGCACAGAACCGCACAGAACCGCACCCGCTGGCCCACCCGTTCCAGCCAGAGCTGCTGCCCCACCCGTTCTAGTCACCTCACCCGAAATCAGCCTCCCCACCCGGTACTCTCCACCCCGCAGAACCGCACAGAACCGCACAGAACCGTGTAGAACCGCACTGAACTGCATAGAACTGCACAGATTCGCACCCGCTGCCCCACTTGTTCCAGCCAGAGCTGCTGCCCCACCCGTTCTAGTTACCTCACCCGGAATCAGCCTCCCCACCTGGTACTCTCCACCCCGCAGAACCGCACAGAACCGTACAGAACCGCGCAGAACCGCACTGAACTGCACAGAACCGCACAGAACCGCACCCGCTACCCCACCCGTTCCAGCCAGAGCTGCTGCCCCACCTGTTCCAGTCACCTCACCCAGAATCAGCCGCCCCACCCAGTACTCTCCAGCCCGCAGAACCGCACAGAACCGCGCAGAACCGCACTGAACTGCACAGAACCCACACCCGCTGCCCCACCCGTTCCAGCCAGAGCTGCTGCCCCACCCGTTCCAGTCACCTCACCCGGAATCAGCTGCCCCACCCGGTACTCTCCACCCCGCAGAACTGCACAGAACCGCACAGAACCGCGCAGAACCGCACTGAATTGCACAGAACCGCACTGAACCGCACCCGCTGTCCCACCTGTACCGTCAGAGCTGCCCCCCATAACCTGAATCCTCCGCCTCAAGAGCTGAAACCCGCCACTAGCAGCACCAGTAGCAGCAGTTTAGGCTGCCCCCAGCAAAACCAGAAGCAGCATAGGCTGCCCCAGCGTTCGACCAGCAGCTTAGGCTACCGCCAGCGCACCATCAGCAGCTTAGGCTGCCCCCAGTGCACCACGACTGACGAATGCCCTGCTCGCGACAGAATCCAGAGAGAACGCCAGAGCGAAACTCACCCCCGCGGTCGGAGTGAAGACAGCTGACACGACGACCACGAGTGTCCGCAGTGGTAAGCAGCCACCGGATCAGCGTAGAAGTTACGTCGGACTTCTTCGCCAAGGGGAACACTGTGGTGTAGCGGGAGTAGTCGTCAACGACCACGAGAAAGAAACTCTCTCGCTCAGGGCCAGGGCGCGAGGCGGGGCCCCAGACGTCCAAGTGAAGAGTCTCGAAGGGCTCGGTGGCCGGACGAAGGGAGGAGGAGTGAGGGGTGGCACGCAGCCGACCCTCGATGCAGGGACCGCAGGGTGGCGCAAGCGATGGCGGTAACGACGGCAAGACACGCGGGAGGCCTAAGACAAGACGCTTACTAGACATAGCGCGCATGCAAGAAATGGACGGGTTCCCCATTCGGTGGTGGCAAGAAACCGGCAGGAGCATGACGCAGCGACTAGACTAGACACTGGAACCTGACCAGACACAGCTACCTAGGGAGACGCGGCAACCTGGTGAGACGCGGGAACCTGACGGGGGGCAGTGACAAGGGTCGGGGGCAGTAGCTGCTGCTGCCGCTGCTGCTGTTGTAGCAGCTACTGCTGCTGCTGCTGCTACTGCTCCTGCTGCTGTTGCTGCTACCCTCGAGGGGCAGTGTGAAGTGTGTAGGGACCAGAGCGCGGCTCAGCGATAAAGGTTGCGAGAGGCGAGTAGGTGTCACCGTCGACACAAACCGCAGTCTCAGGGGCAGTAGCTGCTGCTGCCGCTACTGCTGCTGTAGCTGCTGCAAGGGGAGGGGCTGCTGCTGCTGCTGCTGCTGTCGTTGAGTCAGGTACCACGCCGCTGCTCCACCCCCTCCAGCTGGTAGGTGGTTGACGAACCCAGGCGTCACCTCCACCAGCTGCAGTAGGGGAGTCACCAGCCGCTGTACGAGGCACTCCTCCAGCCCCTGCACTCCCGCCGCCGCCGCTCGCCACGTCACCCCCACCGCCTCCGCCCGCACCCTGACCGCCCCTCCTGCCGCTCCTACCCTAGACCGCAAAAAAGTCGTAACAGCAGCTGCGGTTACGTCAGTAGCGGCAGTGGCAAGGGAGGCAGTAAAGGTGGGCAGCTGAGGGACAGTGCACCCGTGAAACAATGGAGGGGACACAGCACTAGAGGCGGAGGCAACCGAGTGGAGGTTGCTCTCGACGTCCTTGAGGGCAGACTTAAGGACCTCGATAGTGAGCTCGCTAGGTTGCTTCAGAAGAAGCGCGTCACGAACCGAGGCAAGGTGGTCAGGGAGGCTAGTGGCGATGAAATAGATAGTAATCGCCATAGGGGGAGGGAGCAATCCAAGCTGTTCGTCAGTGCAGGCAGCGCGGTAATTGGAATCGAGCGAGCGCAAGTGAGCGATCAAGTCAGCAGAGCGCTCAAACGAGGCGAGGTCAGGAAACAGGAACGGGAGGAACAGGCAACCAAGAGAGACAGTGGTGGGAGTGGCGTAGCGAGCCTTGATCGCAGTCAGGAACTCACTAGCCGAGCGAACCTGAGTGAAGTGGGCCTCCTCAGACTCAGAGAGGAGGCTGCTGAGGGCGATGCAGGCCGCAGCGTCACGCGACTTCCACGCTGTGAGGTCAGCACGCTGGCGGGCATAACAATCTCTGGCTGCATCTCTAGGGTCAGTGCCTAAGGGTGCAGGATCGTCGGGCTTAGGAAGGTCGCCAGAAGCGTGCA